AAGGAGGCACACCTTTCCCCCCAAAATATTGAGGCCAAAAGACTCCTCAAAAATGTAGTTGGATTGCTTTTGCGGTGCTCTTCTTTTAGCCGTTCGGGAAATCTTCCGTGCAAAGCTTTTTTTTTTTAACCCTTGCAGATGGGCTACTCCCTGCGTTGCAAGGGTTAACTGCTCCTTTTCATCTAGGTGGTAAAATATAAAAAGCTATACTCACCGGACCTTGAAGACGGCTGGCTGCTACATGGCTCTCTTCAGCCTGTCACCTCCTGTCTCTTGGCGTCCTCACGTCCTATACACTGTATTGGACGCGCTGACTCGAGGATCCTTACACCGCTGCAGCGGAGGGGGAGTGAGGCTGAAAGGACCAGTCTAAAAGCAAGCTGACTTCGAGGATCAGGTAGTATAACTTTTTTCATTTTAGCACCTAGGCAAAAATGAGCAGTGAACCCTCTTGGGGGAGGGCGGTGTAGCCCCACTGTAAGGGTTCATAAAAGTTTTGCCCGGAGTTCTTTAATTTCCAATATACTGCAATGACCATGAATTGTAACAACATGGTGGCACAAGGCCGAGGTTTTGTACCTCATTTCTATTCATTGTTGTCAGTTAATGGAGATACTGCCTGTTCATATCAGTTCAGTGGACAAAATGGCTGCCGCTAGGCTAAGGAAACAGGTCCCTTGTTTATAGGCACTGGAGAAACATATGAGCATCAAATGTAATAAAATGTAAGTTTCTATTATCATTTCTTTAAACTAGTGTCCTCCTTACCTGGGTACAGGGCCCTGCTGATCATCCCTGGCATGATAATGAAGATCATAGGCAGCATTTTGAGGTAGCTGGCGAGGATGGATGCGGCCTTGGCATGGCTTAGGTTCTTGGCAGACAGAGACCGTTGTACAATGACCTGATAAATGAGGGAAGGAGAAGAAATAGCTTTAATGCAGTGAAAATCCTACACCTTCTTTTATATTAAAAATAAATACTTGTGTGCTGGCCATGAGATATAACCAGGACTGAGGAGGTTTCCCTTAACTTCCTGTACCAGAGACACAAGAGGAAGTAAGGTTAAATCTCCACAGGGAACAAGTCTCCTTATCGTAAGATTTTGCCGATATCTCATTTCCTGTGACAACTGTAAAATGTTGGATTTGCTCTGTGACGGTGATCACTAAGGACTGACGCACACTTTTGCAATGTGGTGCCATCCATGTTATGTGCGTCTACTGTCATTTTGAATTGCAGCACGCTGTAGGGGCGGGCAAACTTGGCACTCCAGTTGTGATGAAACTACAGATGCCATCATGCCTCTTGGAGTCATGCCTATGGCTTTGTGTCTTGCAATGCCTCATGGGACTTGTAGTTTCAAAACAGCTAGAGCGCTGAGGTTGCATAGGCCTGGCCTGGTCTATGTGTTGTTGTGTGCTGCGTTGCCAAAAAATGGTGCCTAAGGTCTTTTTTGTGGGTTGCCAGCCCATTCATATGAATTTTCTACATGGCCCTTATGCTACCAATTGTGACTATCCCCATTCCAGGGCACATGGAAAAATGCTTGTTGCTAAGGGCAACAGATGCTGTTTCACATTATGAGCCCCATATTGATTGACGGGACGATCTGTGCTACCCATGGCAACCAGTTCCATTGCAGTTGTCATTTTTCTACTGCAGATCGGAGGATTAAATGACAATTGTAACCGGTTGCAATCGGTGACAGACGTGTCATGAGTTTTTATGCACTCGGCCCATTCTCTACCTGTAGATAAAATTTGAGGTTCAGCGAGCAGGTGCAGGGCACCATGGGAAACGGGCGATGAAAGGTTTCCAGGAAGACCGTTGACATGTTTCCTGTCGGTTTACTTTATTTTATACCACAACGCACAAGTCGCACCTGCAGTAAGTAATCTGACAATTCTCCACCGTGGGCCAGCGCTGCCCCCTAGTGATAGATGATGATGATGACATTCACTTTAATATAGTCAACTTGACAGTAAATATATCAAAGAGAGAGACACAGATTGCAGAAAAGGAATCGATCTCCTGTCTGTAAGAACTAAGTAGGGGGTTAATGGAGCCATACAAGTGTAACACACACCGTGTTGTCAGCTATTTCATGTGCTGTGATTAAGACGGGTACACTTTATAGAAGAGCTACAGACTAAAGAAAAAGATTCTACAGACGAAAAAAAAGTTGTTTAAAAAAAAAAAAGACCTTTTTATATGTGTTTCTTGCTATAATAAACCAGTAATTAGCAGATTTCCAGTGCTTCATAGTCTTGATTTTCATATATCATGGGTCATTAAATGGCAGACCGCAGTCTGGACATGGACCAAGCAACGGTTCTGTCCAGACCGCTATCATGCACCTATGCTAGGTTATGGCTGGGTGCCTGACCTCAGAGACTCTGAAACATTTAATGCCAGCCAGCCATAACCCATTGCAGTCACTGGTTGCTAGGACCGTTGGCATCCTAACAACCACTGACATCATTAGTTGTCGGATGGGGACCATCAGAGTGCCCCCTTACATTAGGTGTCCCCATCAGAGTGCCCCCTTACATTAGGTGTCCCCATCAGAGGGACTGTATGGGGGCACACTGATGGGAGCACCTAATGTATGGGGGCACACTGATGAGAGCATGTAATGTATGGGGGCACACTGATGGGAACACCTAATGTATGGGGGCACACTGATGGGAACACATAATGTATGGGGGCACACTGAGGTGAACACCTAATGTATGGGGGCACGCTGATGGAAACACCTAATGTAATGGGGCACTCTGGGGACATCTAATGTAAGGTGGCACTTTGGGGACAACTACTGTAAGGGCCACTCTGATGGGGACACCAGTATGAGATTTGGACCACTGCTGTAAAAAAATGTTTTACTGACCGGACCTCCTTGAATTATAATTCAATAGCCCTGTCATATATTATACTAATTAACCGTGAAGCTTTATGAGGGAGCAGATTTTGGAGTGTTCCCATTGCATCATGGGGGCTCAGTTTGTTTTCCTGGTGCAGACCTTCTCAGCTGGATAGAGAAGTGGCCTCAAACAGCACGTATCTGGTATATGAAATCCATAAAAAGGACATTTGTTTTGGTGAACTTACAATGGAATAATGTAATCTGGTAATATTACATATGAATAGTTTTTAGCCTAACTTTGCTTTAGAAGTTGCTTGCGATAGTATTCTTGCTTAGCATTGGCCTGTGCCATGTCACCCATGCATGTGTGTGTGTGTTGGGTTTTACATCTGCCGCCCTGACTGACTAACATGGCCTGCTGCTTGTTTTACTAACACGCTATCCTTCTCTTTCTGCTCCTCAAGGAGAAAAACCTTTTCCAGTTCAATCCCAACGGGCCCACAGGAGGATATGACCGATTCTCATCGCAGCACGGCGCCCGGAACGTAGGCAAGGGCAAAGAGCAAAATGAGGGCTGCATGGACGGCCCCAGTGCGTATCGCCAGAGCCACAGAAATTCTGAAGGACCCGGGCCAAGAACTGGATTGTGGAGCAGCAAGGACTATGGCAGAAGCTACACCAGCCCGCTGTCTCAGAGCCCCGTGCCCTCCGACAACGCAACAAGTCCGTTTGGAATTCCCTTTTCTAAGCTCTCCCAAACCAAACACCTCAAGAGCAAGCTGGGGACAACCAGCCTGGACTCCCGGAGGAGAAGTCATGGCCCACCGGGGCACAAGGACCTGTAGATGAGCTATGACGATGCTAAGTTTATAGGCTTGCCCGTTCAGTCTCGTGTGAAGGGACAAAGGTTGACCTACAACACGAGCATTGAAGAGTAAATTATATGAATGTATCGAGGACTGTGCCTGAATCATGAGTAGCTAATACTGTGCTCTGGGAAAATGCCACAACTGTGCTGACCATGGACTGTCCAAAACTTGTAAATGTTTGGTGAGGTGTGCCGGAGTTTTATGAGGGATTTATTTTTTCATGTCAACCATCTGCCTGGTTCTGCATCTACTGCACAACATTGAGCCGGGTCCATATTCTAAAAGAACAAGGGCTGCTTTAATATTTCCTCCTGCAGTTTTCTCCCAGCAGACCCATTGTTCTATCTGTTGGCCTTTATTTGGTAAAGGGTTGGTGTTCTTAAAGCCCAGTTGAAGTTGCAGAAATAGATATCCCATGACATAGATGTTGTAATAACTTCCATATTCATAGTCTTGCCTCCGCTTTCCTGCTGTAACTGTTGGGCGGTGTGTCTTAAAATGACTTAACAGTGCAATAGCCACTGACCACACTGCCCAGTGCACTCTGTAAGCTAGAAGACCTGGTCACACACACCCTTGCCTTGGACAGACACACCTTCTCTTCTGTCCTGCAGTGTGAGAATGCTGGGACATGTACTAATCTGTACCAGCATAGAGCACAGGAGTGGGAGAGCACTAATGAAAGATGTGCCATTTACTCTTCTGTGCCAGCACTAGAGTGGGAGGGCATCTACTGCATCTTAAGGCCTCATTCACACGAGAAAAGGCCGGCATGTACAGCTCCATGCTGTGTGCACGGCCGTATCGGCAGCTCCCGGGAAGGACAGGTGCTGCCTGTGATTAGTACGCAGCCCCTGCCCTTCTCTATGGGCGTACGTTGCCGTACGCCGCCCTACACTCACCCGCCCCGCACGTCCTTGCGGCTGTCTGTACTCGTATGCTGGCAGGATGGATCCTGTCTGCGTCCGAGCCGGGACACCTGCAACTGTTCGGACTTGCACTTGAGGTAAGCGTAGGGTGGCGTACGGCCCCCTACTCCCATAGAGAAGGAGGGGCTGCGTACTAATCACACGCAGCACCTGTCCTTCCCAGGAGCTGCTCGATACGGCCGTGCACGCAGCACAGAGCTGTACGTGTCGGCCGTTTCTCGTGTGAATGAGGCCTAAGTCATTTCCAACAGCAAATTAGTTTTTAACTCCTATGCCAATATAGGATAGAAAGGGAAAACAAGCTGTAAGACTTCAAATGGGCTTAAAGTGTTATTTTTTAGAGACTTGAACTCAGACCAGTACAAAAATGGATTCTGATTGGTTGCTATGAGTTACAACACCTAAGAATAGGAACTCTTTATTGGGTAAGGTTTTACATTTTTCTCTTTAAAAGCAAATCTGTCTGAATAGAAATGTTGGAGCGATAAGCAGAGGATAATGACTGATCCAGAATTTGCACCTTTAAAGACCTATATACAATGGCAACCCCCATATTTGTACACTGGCAGGTTCACTTTAAGAGATTATAAGCCAGATGTTTCATTTAAATAAGATATTTTACGTTTTAGTTTTACTAATCTCTTGCATGTGGTGCTGCTTGGGTGGAGCCCATCTTAGGTGGAGCCCATCTGTGGGTACATGACCGATTCACTAGCCTGAAAACAAAGGTTTTCCAGGGCTCATCTGTTTTGTAGAGAGGAGTAAACCGTCAACTGCAAGAGAAAATGTAATTTCAAGATGGAGGAGATTTTTATGAAAATGCTGAGATTTTGGTCCTTACGTTTAGGTTAGTGGACAGTTTGCACAGAAGGATTAGGAAAGTGGGTGGAGGAAGCCGACGGTTCGGCCGCAGTGTCCCCACCACCTCAGTGAAGGGAAGCGGCCATGTTGTTTGTTTGAATGATAATAGGAATGAGGCCTGTCATGTCACAAAGAGACTAAACCCGGCAGCAGCACATTAGATTAGGCCTGGACAGGATGTAAAAGGAAATTCCCTTTGTTGCAATGACAGCTGGAATTGGATGAGTTTAAAGTGCAACATAGACACTTTATTGCACAGGATTGATATAAAAGGCCTGTTTTGCTGGGCACCGATCCAGCCACCAAAATGGCTGGCTCCATGATGTCACACCCTGCTGGGTATTTGATAACCTGCCCACCAAAATGGCTGGCTCCATGATGTCACACCCTGTTGGGTATTTGATAACCTGCCCATCTAAATGGCTGGCTCCATGATGTCACACCCTGTTGGGTATTTGATAACCTGCCCACCAAAATGGCTGCCTCTGTGATGTCACACACATAACCTGCCTATCTAAAAACGGCTGCCTTCGTTTTTTTGTACATGACAGGAATGTTGGTAATTTATGTCCAGCCAAAACTTTACATTTTAGTTTTAGAGTGGGGAAGGATCAGAACCCCTCTCAGGTTTTAACTGCTGAAAGTTGCTCTGTTGGAGAGATTTCCACTCAGTTCCTGTTGCGGCGATATTGGTTTCACTAGACCGGAAGTGAGGGTAAATCACAGACAACTATAACAATGCATTTTATTAGTTGGGCAAATTAAGACTAAATCCCTGTTGGGTGTTTAATTTCCTCTCACTTCCTGTCTCTTGAAACTGTTGTCACTGGGAAATTAAGGAAGGGAAAGTCCCACTAACAAGGACCCAAATAGCGGTAAAAAACCTGACCAGGGTTTTTATCTTTCCCTACTTCTTCCAAAACTAAAAAGAAAAGTTTTGGCTGGACATTCACTTTAACTGGAAAGAGTTACTGCAAGTGTTGGTGAACAGACCGCGTGGTAAAGTATGTGAAGGATGATGATGGCATAACCCATAGCCAGAGTTGTATCTAGCATAAAATGTGCCTGTGGTGTCCCGCGCAGCTCCTGGCAACCAGTGACATCACTGGTTGGCAGAAGCTGGAAGGGATGCCTGCCAGAGAGGAGAAAAAAAGTCAGTTGTCTCCATGGGTCGGTGAACTTTCGCTAACCCACGGAGCGGCACCCCCCTTCAAGTGGCGCTGCCCATTGAATTGGAGAACCTGACTCCATTATTCAGACAGAATTTATCGTCCATTTTCAGTCATGAGGCACATCTGGCTTTGTGTCTCCCAGTCATGTCACTGTGAAGGACCAGTGTCTCCCAGTCATGTCACTGTGAAGGACCAGTGTCTCCCAGTCATGTCACTGTGAAGGACCAGTGTCTCCCAGTCATGTCACTGTGAAGGACCAGTGTCTCCCAGTCATGTCACTGTGAAGGACCAGTGTCTCCCAGTCATGTCACTGTGAAGGACCAGTGTCTCCCAGTCATGTCACTGTGAAGGACCAGTGTCTCCCAGTCATGTCACTGCGAAGGACCCGTGTCTCCCAGTCATGTCACTGCGAACGACCCGTGTCTCCCAGTCATGTCACTGCGAACGACCCGTATCTCCCAGTCATGTCACTGCGAACGACCCGTATCTCCCAGTCATGTCACTGCGAACGACCCGTATCTCCCAGTCATGTCACTGCGAACGACCCGTATCTCCCAGTCATGTCACTGCGAACGACCCGTATCTCCCAGTCATGTCACTGCGAACGACCCGTATCTCCCAGTCATGTCACTGCGAACGACCCGTATCTCCCAGTCATGTCACTGCGAAGGACCCGTATCTCCCAGTCATGTCACAGTGAAGGACCAGTGTCTCCCAGTTATATCACACTGAAGGACCAGTAACACTACTAACGTCCATCCTCTCCTCCATCTTGTAAAATAGTGATCGGAAAACAAGTTTAAAAAGCTTTGTGTTCCTCAAGCTAAGCTTTGCTATGGTTATGTCTTAATGCTGCGCGGCGGTTCTTCTAGAATCGTTTACTGTAGGTTTTAGGCTAGTTGCAGTTGTATGTATGTGAATATGTAAGTTTATGTATATATGCGTGTATGTATGTATATACTGGATCTTTGTATGAGAGAAATTGCAACTATTTTACGGTACTTATGTCAGGGGGAATCTCTATTATTTAAGGCAATCCTGATTCCTCACAACAACCAATATTTTCACAGGCCATACCTCGGAACAAGGGTAGGCAAAGTACAGCTCTTTAGCTGTTTTGAAACTACATATCCCATGAGGCATTGCAAGACTCTGACAGCCACAGGCATGACTCCCAGAGCCAGATGCATGTGTGGCTCCATTTTCAGCTTATACATTCACTATAAAAAAGGAACACCACAAAACATAAAAATAATCCACTACTGTGTTCCTAGTAACAAGGTGAACTCTCTGGAAGACTGACTAACGTCTCAAAATGTCTGTGTGTATCAGTAACACCACAAAGGCCTTATGTGTTGTGAAGCAGACTGTTATTTGTATACATGGCAGTGGACCTTTGGATACTTGGCAAATGAGAACAAAATAACATTTGTTGACCTTTGGTAACATTCACAACTCTGTATATCCGTGGAAGCCAACCTAGACACTCCAGCTGAGGTGAAACTTCAAGTCCCATCATGCATCTGCCTCTGGGAGTCATGCATGTGGCTGTCAGAGTCTTGCAATGCCTCATGGGACTTGTAGTTCCACAACAGCTGGAGGGCCGAGGTTGCCTACCCCTGCTGTGTATGTATATTGTTTCTATGACAGAATCTATTTTCCTGCCTGTTGACTAGCAGAGAATAAAAACATGTCTCCTCCTCCTTACTCTGGGTTATTGGTTATTAGAATTGGTTCAGAAGAACAGGAAGCGTAGAGTGTCTTCCATCTTTGAATAACAGCGGTCTTGGATACCTTCATTTCTATGCATATATACATTTTTGTGAATGTCCCTTCAGCTTTTCATAGAGAGAACAGTAAAATGACTTGAAAACCTTTCAGCCTGTAATGCAGGTACGGGCAAATTCCAGGCCTTCAGCTGTTGTGGAACTACAAATCCCATGAAGCATTGCCAGATTCTCACAGCCACAGGCATGACTCCCAGAGGCAGATGCATTACGGGATTTGTAGTTTCACCACAGCTAGAGGGCAGGAGTTTGCCCTCCCCAAAAGTATACCTCGCCCACTGGAGTGGGCAATACGGGCCTGCAGGTTCAGGCAAGTGCTAGTGTTACCTGGCATAGGGAACGGCTTGCATTGAGCCTTTTGGCTCTATACTTGCTTTATGGCCTGACCTACAGGGGGCTTCAGACATATGCTAAGTTCCCCCTACTCCCAGCTTAAAGAAAACCTGTACTGTAACCAATACAAGACTGCCAATCCTGACCTCTTGAAGAATGCCGATTGCTTGCCTTGTCTTTGGCTTTAATACTTTGATTCGTTGACCCATGTGCTAAGTTGGGTCATCGACAAATCGTAACTCCTGATCTTCATACTTGTCCCTGGCCTGTACCTCAGAGAGTACTAAAGCCAATGGATCAGCATGAACTGCATGTAAATAGCAATGGTAGCCTACAGATTCCTCCAAGTGCAGGTTTCCCTTATGACTTTAAAGAGACCCTGTCACCACCTTAAAAAATGCAGGTATAGCACCAAACAAATCAAGTTTAATGCTTACTTGCTGTTTTTTCACTTTCCATAAATAATTCCATTGCAATGTGCCTTTTGAACTTGCTAGAAAACTTGACTACTCCAGGAAGAGTCAATTCCCTATCACAGCCCCCTCCCCCTTTCCGGGAGTGTCTGCTTAACATCTGTGCTGGCCAAGCTCCTTCACCCCTCCCTTCAGCTCCCTACATAACCTTTTATGTAGCTTCCAGGGGGGGGAGAGAACGGGAATGCTAATAGAGCCAGGGGTAGGAAACCTTGGCCATCCAGCTGTGGGGAAACGCCAAATCCCATAATGTATCTGCTGCTAGAAATCATGCCTGTGACTGTCAAAATCTTGCAATGCCTTATGGGACTTGTAGTTGCACAGCATCTGGAGGGCTGAAGTTTGGCTACCCCCGCTAAAAAGCCACAGACATGACTCCCAGAGGCAGATGCATGATAGGACTTGTAGTTGCACAGCAGCTGGAGGGCCAAAGTTTGGCTATCTCTGCTGTATAGCCACAGACATGACTCCCAGAGGCAGATGCATGATAGGACTTGTAGTTGCACAGCAGCTGGAGGGCCGAAGTTTGCCTACCCCTGCTATACAGTGTGACTTGAGTCTGCTGTGGCTGCTGATGTCACATCCAAGATGGCGGCGCTTAGCAGCACTTCAATGGCTTTTGGATGTCCAGACAAGGGGGGTTTATACAGGTAAATAACATGCCTAAAATACATTAAATGTGCATAGAATCTTATGGGATGATTTTTTAAGAAATGGTCAGGTGACCGGGTCTCTCTAACCGAAATCTGGCGTTAGTTTACATTTTTGTGTAGAATTATTTTTAAGATGCTGCTATGTGTATAAATACTTATGCACTTTAACAGTGATACACTTTCATTTAGAGAGAGGCTTTCTTTTCATTATTGTAGACAAGTGACACAAATTTGGCAGCGAGAACAGGGTCATAGTACGCTATCGGCACTAAAAGCCATCATGCTTTAAGGTAACGAGCACAGCCATTTTGTATCTAATGTTTTGTAGCTTTGAAGTCCAGCTTGCCAATCAGAATCTAGATAAATTCCCCTCATTCTATCAAAACTGGAGCAGTTGCCCATGGCGACAAATCAGCTTCTATTTTCAGTTTGTTTAGTTAAGCTTTGAAAATGAAAGAGAGAAGCTGATTGGTTGTCATGTCATGTTCCCTATCACTATAATTGGTTATAATATAACGATTATTATAGCACTCTCCTCCGGCGGCCATTACCTGATCGGTACACCAGTACCAGGCGGCGATGATGGTCAAGCCGAAGGTCATTCCCGTCCAAGGAAGGTCGCCGGAGACCGGGTCTCGGAACAAGTGCATGGCATCCGACCGAGGAAGGTGGCATGTGGCGTTCGGAACCACTAGCGCCGGTATGGCCTCGTTGTAGGCTTTCTCCAGATTTTGGTAGCCGCCGATTTCGTTAAAAGCTGCAAAAAGAGGATAATAAACACAAAGCGTAAACACAAATCTGTTTTTTGTTGTCCGGCAGCTCAGGACTGACACTATTGTTTCAGCAACGAGCGGCCATCTTTAATTGGACGACATGGCTCCTTGTGCAGGGTTAATGGCTAGTATTTTGCACATGTTTTTTTGTAAATATCACGTCTGGTGCGTCACAAGAGACGACAGTGTTTTGACTCTGGTGATCCCATTTTAGTCAGGTGAGCTCTTGGCAGTCGCCCATCTTGTCTGTAACAGTATCCAAACTGCGTGATTGTCTAGGAACATTTGGCGACGTGTCCTCGGGGAAGGGGGGTTAGGTGTACAATGACACCAAGACTTGTTAGTTTTATTGTACAGGGAAACCGCTAGGCCGTATTGTGGAGCTGTCAAAGCAATATGACGAACTGCGTGACAATTTTGATTGCATGCCCATGATGGCCGTCCCGTTTTAGGAGACTTCCGAACAGGAAGTGCGGAGATCCCCAAGCGACCAATCGGAAGCCACCTTTAACCAAGATGAGGCTTTTAAACTGAAATATGGTTGCTACGGGTTACCGCACTTAACACATCGCCACTGTGATTTGAACTAACATAGGGGTAGTAGGCAACTTTGGCACACCAGCTGCTGTGGAACTTCAAATCCCATGAGGCATTGCAAGACTCTGACAGCCACAGGCATGACTGCCAAAAGCAGATGCATCATGGGATTTGTAGTTTAAGCAGAGCTGGAGGGCCGAGGATGCCTGCCGCTGTGCTACCATGTGGAGATAATGACTTCTCTTGTTTGATCCCTTTTGTTCCTCCGCGACAATCCTGCAAAGTGCTGAGACTATTTTTGTACGATGTATTATAATTTTTGAGCTATTTTAAATATATGCAGTATTTAAAACCTTCTTCTGGTGTCCTGATTTATTTATTTGCCTGTGTGTGTCACTGCTGTGTGAAATGTTAGGCCTCATTCAACAAACTGACAGGGTTGCCCCTGACAACGAGATTCTTTTGCTAAAAAAGAAAACAATGGAAGGATTAATATGATTGGTTGCTATGTTCAATGCAGATAGTTTTTAGGACACTTTCCTAGCTACATAAACACCAGAAGCATTGGGGCTGCGCTGGTTGCTTTTTCCAGTGTAGCCCCAATGCATAGACAATTTGCCCTTTTTTATATGGGCATCTGTTGTGATCTGCCGCTGAACACCAAGTCCCGCTCTGCTATCATCCTCTCCCGAGAGGATACACAGGAGGGGGCGGAGACAAGACCAGTCACCCTGCAAAAAGAGAGCAGCAGTGAGTGGTCTTTTTTACAGGAGGGGGCGGAGACAAGACCAGTCACCTTGCACAAGGAGAGAGAGCAGCATTGAGCGGCCTTTATTACAGATGGGGGTGGAGACAAGACCAGTCGCTCTGCACATGGAGAGAGAGAGCAGCAGTGAGTGGTCTTTTTTACAGGAGGGGGCGGAGACAAGACCAGTCACCTTGCACAAGGAGAGAGAGCAGCATTGAGCGGCCTTTATTACAGATGGGGGTGGAGACAAGACCAGTCGCTCTGCGCAAGGAGAGACAGGAGCAGTAACCGGCCTTTATTCGAGGAGGGGGTGGACACAAGACCAGTCACCTTGCACAAGGACTGAGAGCAGCAGTGAGTGGTCTTTATTACAGATGGGGCGGAGACAAGACCAGTCACCCTGCACAAAGAGAGAGATCAGCAGTGACCGGTCTTTATTACAGGAATCTCCAGGTCTCACACTGGATGACTGCACAGATCTGGAAGAAATACACAAAGCTCACCGAGATTCCAGGAAGAATGCGCAGGACTCTTGTATGAGGACAACATTATTTTAGATAATATTTAAGCTCTCTTCCAAGCCCTCAAATGACTGCTGTCATCGCTGATCACATGTGCAGCACCATGGCAACTGCAACCCAAATAAAAGCTAAGATGACGCCTTCCTTGGCTGTAAGGGATAGGAGGATGTAGTTCCACTTTAAGTTCTGCTTACATACACATAGGTCACCCCCACTGTGCACAACCAGATGATAGCGATCATTTTATGGGGTTGCTATGGGCAGCACACTTTTAACGTTTTAATTGTATACCCTCCTGGGCTTATATGGAAAGGCGAGCTGCAGCAACTCATAGCAGCCAATCAGAAATCATCTCTCTCTGATCTGACGGGTTGCTATGGGTTACCACATACTTTCACTTCTCCCCGGCTCTATTGAACAAGCATTAGGCCCATTTTCAGGGTTTTCTCAGACATATGAATGAATGTTCGTCCTCCATTGGGGGGGGGTTTGTTCTTTGGATTATCTAATGGCAGCCGCTCTGTTTCGGGACAAACACTTATTTGCATTTACAAATCACATTATTGTACCGCTGCTGGTTGATTTGTATCAGGACGCAAAGAGAACACTGGCGGGGTGGAGTATTTGACTAAAAAAATAAAACAAAGAGCCTCCTGGATGAATGCCGTAACCATGGCACCGGACAGAAAACGCAAGCCCTAACCGCGTTCTGAAATAACCGATCAAATGCTTTCTGATTCAGTATAGGATAGGCTTCCTCAGTGCTTGCAGCGGTGCGCGGTGACGCACAATGACAATATATATTGTAAACAATGTGACTGCTTTTTGCACTTCCTGCTCTAGATCTGCAGCACATGTGGACACCCCATCTGTACAGGGGGGAAGGACCCCTGATGATTACCTGTAATAGTCAGGATAACGGCACCCACGATCATGATCACAGTCTGTAGCGCATCGGTGTAAATCACAGCGGCCAGTCCTCCTAAAAAAGATTTAGAAATAAAAAGAAATTCATTGTGGGAATCAGAAAATGATGAACGCTGGACAGATTTTCCTTCATATTGTATTCTGGCCTCAATGGAACCCTGACGAGTAGACATGTGCGATTCGTTTCGTTCGGAGATTCAGATGTATCCAAATTCCGAATTACAGATATGGCGAATGCAAACGAATCCGAATCTCCGATTCCCAAATTCTTTAGCGGTAGTCTGGACGAAATTTTGTATCAGCAAAGTGACATTTGAGAGAAAATCGCGTTTTTTTCCCCCTCAAATATCACTTTGCTGCAACGAACAAAACGACAATTCGTACACTACTACTGCTAACGAATTTCATCTGAATCTCGAAACGAATTGACTTTCAAACCCGAATCCCGAAAAACAAAATAACGCAAAATCCAAATCAAAACAAAACAAAATTAAACACATTTTTTGCTCGTGCACATGTCTACTGACGAGTAAATGCAAAATGAAGAAGATATTAGCACCATCAAATTTCTGGCGTGCAGTACTGGCCCAAACCCACTAGGGGGCAGACAGTCATCAGCAAAGGCTACGTTCAAACCTGCTAAGTTCAAGCCAGCTGCGTAAGTGACAGCTGGCTCTGCCTATCTAGAGGTAGAGGCAGATGTAACCGCCACCCCCCCCCCCTCCCTCCGGCCGTTCAGTGAGAGTCTCTTTGTCACAGGTCGGCTAGAACTATGAGGTGAGTGAAAATCACTCATCTCATAGTTCTCCTTTAACTTTTTCTTGCAAATATGTACCTTGGCTCCTCCCCCTCCTGATTTCTCATACTCTTGATCCCTTAGGGAAACATGCTGGCGACCATTGCTAACAAATGCTAGTTGCCAGGCTGTCATGGCTGTCATAGTGGGGGAAATAAAATGGGAAAACTTATTTCAAAACCTAAACACAGACCAGATGTGGGATTGTTTTAAAAACACAGTACATACTGCTACTTCAAACTCTTGCTTCGATATTTTGAGTCACTGACCCTAGACAATTATGTAGATAAGAGTTTGCAACTTTGCTATCCTGATATACATACAGTATTGGAATATAAATGTGCTCATACGACAAATAAGGTGACTGTCCCACCTGCAATGGTGTACATTGCCGTCACCACCAGCATCAGGACTGTGGAGAGGTAGAGGTTCCATCCCAGGCACACCTGTATGAAGAGCGCTCCGGAATACAGGTCCGTCTGTAAGGAAACACACAAGAAACATGGCTTGTTAGAAATCTCATGGCTTGTGGAGCCCCTAGGCGTCTGCCTACTAAGTCCATCCCGTGTATCATCTGTTTTCCTATACAGTGTATCCACAGGACAAAAATGAGGGTATGGTTCAAAAAAAGGACTCTTTCCAAGTACGTTTTGCAACCATCTACTCAAGAAATCTTCTAATCTTTATTTCCAGTAGACGCGTGCGATGCGCTTCGTTCCAAATCAAAATTCAGACGAATTTTCCAAAATTCCGACACATCCGAATTCCTAAATCCCAATGTGTCCGAATCGGAACTTCCGTTTCCAAATTTTGGATCCCGTCTGAATTTCTTTCAAAAACGAAACTGAATGGGACATGTGACTTTTCTGGCCAATCAGATGTGTTTTGCGGTTTAATATATCCGAATGGGTCTGAACACAAGGCAACATGGGAACCATATACCGTATATACATATAATACTAAAGCTGAGGCTCCCAGATCCAAATGGCATTCAGGTTCCGAATTTCCCAATTGCATTCGGGAGCTCCTGAATGCCATTCGGGTCTGGGAGCCTCAGCTTTAGTATTAATATCTGTATATGGTTTTCTGTGGTAGTCGTAACGAATATTCGTTCGTAAAGATATCTGAAACTAATGAAAATTCGCATTTCGCCCGAATCCGAAACCCCCGAACCGAATTGAATTTCAGACCCGAATCCCGAAATAATGAAATATCCGAACCGAATTTTTCCGCAGCTTCCATGTCTAATTTCCAGCGGGCGGTGTGTTAAAATGCCGCTGCTTTGCTGCATTCGGATGGTACAGCTATTCCATCCTTCCAGAGGTGTAAAATGCTTGCTTCCCCTGCTGCACATAGTGGTTCCTCCCAATGGCTCATACATCCTATAGTGAAATAGGAGACAGCGAGACGAACTAAAGCGTGCGGCAAGGGGAGTATTTTTTTTTTCTATTCTAATGTTTTATTAAAGAGTTTTCAGCAAGAAATACAAAGAATTCAAGAAATACAAATGATTAAAGATAAGAAACAACTTTAAAAGTAATCCAGTTATATCTAAAAAGTCCGGTCAGGCAGAAATACTCTAATTAACGGACGCTTCAAATTGTCGCAAGTGAGAAGACATAAACTTATCTACGTTACTATTGTCTTTCAGGAGTAAAGAACATCATAAAGTACATGGTAGGAAAGCATAGCTGCGGGCTCTGATAAGTGTTGGCAGCCATTGTATACAATGCAGACACAGTGGCACGGCAGAGGACGGTGGATCACAGAATTATGGACTCCAGTTCTCCTTCCAAAGTTCTATTTATCTGTGCTGATAATGGAAAGATAAAAAAGTAATAATGTTTCCGTTTATTGCTTCAGAGGCTGAGATCACCCAACATGAATGGTGGTTCTCCCTCTGCTGGGCTACAGAACCCTTCCCCCTAATGTTATGGAGATGAGGAGAGGGGCGGAGAGGTCTGACAGGTCTGACAACACTGCTTAGAAATTGGGTGCAGCAGAGGCAGCGTTGACAGCCCCCTACAGGAAGTAGAGGAGGACTGGTACGGTAGATCAATAGGTGTTTTCTATACTTGCAATGTTTCTAAAAAGTATACAACATGCGGAAATATACTGGGGGGAATTTATCAAAACTGGAGCAGACGGAATCTGGAGCAGTTGCCCATGGCAACCAATCAGTTTCTCTCTTCAGTTTGTATAGTTAAGATTTGAAAATGAAAGATAGAAGCTGATTGGTTGCCAGGCACAGCTGCTCCAGATCTTGTCTGCTCCAGTTTTGATAAATTCCCCTCTCACTGTCTTTATTTTTGCACAGACATACACTTTAAGGCCTCATTCACACTGCCGCGCATCTACGCGCGTACGTGCGTATTGTACCATATGCAACATATGCAAATAAATGGCTCCATACACACAGCCGCCTATGGAGCCGTATATTTGCGCAGCGTATATATGCGCAAAAACAGAATGGAACAGAGATGCGTCCGGGCAGCGCATTTCTGCGTATTTACGCGCGTATAGGAGCGTCCATGCGTACAGCACATTAAAATTCCATTATGAGTGATGCATTCTGGGATTGCATATAGTGCATGCATAGACACGCATAGACGCTCGTATATACGCGCATAGACGCTCGTATATGCGCAATATACAATTTTGCTTGCGTTGTGTGTGAATGAGGCCTAAACCAGCGAATCACTTCTGGTCCTCAGACTTTAAAAAGAAAAGTATGGTCCGCCCCCGGTATCAGGCAGAGAAGTCGTGTCAAGTGTCATTGTGGCCCGCTTTGTATTTGTGCACTTCATCAGACAATGGCCACGGCAGGAGTCTTTGTTTCCAGCCTATGAATACTTCATTTATGCAGACACAGACATGTGACAATGTGTCCCACATACAGAGGGATGACAGGCGTGTCGTGGCCCGGAGCAGGCAATAAAAGGCGTCTGGATTCCCCAGCAGGGCGTGAGAGGACACCCCGAAATACCATGACTAGGGAATAAAAAGCTGAGGATTTTGTGCGAGGACAAGATGTAAACAGTGATGGGTCACATTGTGTCACAGACAGTGTCACCGTCAGGTCAGAAGATCTGCACTGTACAACCCAGCCCAATATGGCCGACACCTCACAGTCACTAGACATGTGCACTGCCAAAAAATTTGTTTCGTTTCGTTTTAAATTCGGATTTGTGTTATTTCGTTTTTCGGGATTCGGGTGTGAAAGTCAATTCGGATTCGGAATTCGGATTCGGACGAAATTCGGTAGCGTTAGTACGAACGTTCGTTTCGTTTTCTGTTCTTATTCGTTTCTTATTCGTTTCCTATTTGTTTCTTATTCGTTTCGTTCGTTTGCAGCAAAAGTGACATTTGAGGGGGAAAAAATATTTTTCTCCTTCTCTAATGTCACTTTGCTCCAACGAACGAAACGAATAAGAAACGAATAAGAACAGAAAACGAAACGAACGTTCGTACGAACGCTGCCGAATTTCGGAAATGGAAATTCGGATTCGTTTGCATTCGTTATGTCTGTAATTCGGAATTCGGATACATCCGAATGTCCGAATTTCCGAAAATTCGTCCGAATTTCGATTCGGAACGAAACGAATCGCACATGTCTAACAGTCACTATACAACTCCCTCTGTGTAATATTATATCCACATACTGTATATAACCAGCAATAAATAATAAATATACACTGCAAATAATAAATACAATGTTACAAAATGTTGCAGCATTATTTATTTGTAGCACATCTTTGTTTTCAATTTGTTATAAAATGTTTGCAACATTGTATTTATTATTTGTAGCACATATTTGCGCTGGTTATATACAGGTGAAACTCGAATAATTAGAATATCGTGCAAAAGTAATTGCAGTAAGTGCTGCAAAAGGGGCCCAAACCAAGTACTGAGTACATATGCATGCTTGTACTTTTCAGAGGTCCGATATTGTTCTATGTACAATCCTTCTTTTATTGATTGCATGTAATAATCTACTTTTTTGAGGTTGTGGATTTGGGGTTCTTGGGGTTTTCATGAGCTGTAAGCCATAATCATCACAATTATGACAAATCACGGCTTGAATTATCTTGCTTTGCATGTAATGAGTCTATCTCATATATTAGTTTCACCTTTTAAGTTGCATTAGTGAAATAAATGAACTTTGCACGATATTCTAATTATTCGAGTTTCACCTGTACTGTATGCACACAGAGGGGAATTTATCAACACTGGAGCAGATTTGCACTGCAACCAATCAGCTTCTCTGTCTCATTTTCAAATCTTACTAGCAAACTGAACAGAGAAGCTGATTGGTTATCGTGGGCAACAGCTCCAGATTGTGTCTGCTCCAGTTTGATAAATTCACCCCACAGTCTTCTAGCTGGTCTGGTGATATCTCAGGGGGTTTCTCTTCTTTGGGTGGCAGCAAGGGGTGAGCCTTCTTCCAGGATTGAGCGGCGCTCATGTTATGATGTAACGGAGTAATGTGAGCCCAAAATGCCTGATGACGTGCCGAGGGGGCCGTGTAAATGACAGGCTGGGCTCACAGGAAATGGCCAGAATGACACTAGTGTTATTCTGCCTAAAGGGGACCACAGACACTGGACTGAGAAGGAAGTCACTTAGGGTTAGATCTTGGTAAAGGGTTTTCTTTAGGTTTAGTTCAATGGTTACCTTTAGGTTTAGAGCTAGGAATAGGGTTACCTCTAGGGTTAAAACTAGGTATACCTTTAGTGTGAGTGGTAGGGTTATGGCTACATTTAGGGTTAGTAGAAGGGTTACCTTTAGGGCTAGGGTTATCTTTAGGGTGAGTGCTAGGGTTCAGGTTATCTTTAGGGTGAGTGCTAGGGTTCAGGTTATCTTTAGGGTGAGTGCTAGGGTTCAGGTTATCTTTAGGGTGAGTGCTAGGGTTCAGGTTATCTTTAGGGTGAGTGCTAGGGTTCAGGTTCTCTTTAGGGTGAGTGCTAGGGTTCAGGTTCTCTTTAGGGTGAGTGCTAGGTTTCAGGTTCTCTTTAGGGTGAGTGCTAGGGTAAGCGTTGCGTTTAGGGTTTGTGTTACCTTTAGGGTGAGTGTTGGGTAAGCGTTACGTTTAGGGTTAGTGCTAGGGTTACCTTTAGGGTGAGTGTTGGGTAAGGGTTACGTTTAGGGCTAGTGCTAGGGTTACCTTTAGGGTGAGTGCTAGGGTAAGGGTTAGGTTTAGGGCTAGTGCTAGGGTTACCTTTAGGGTGAGTGTTGGGTAAGGGTTACGTTTAGGGTTAGTGTTACCTTTAGGGTTACCTTTAATCTTAGAACTTGCATTTTGTTGGCCCAAGATCAGGTCAATGATAGAATTAAAAGTGATTCCCTAACTCTTGTCATTTAAAGTCAACTGCACTCTAAAAACAATATTCCCCATTGACTTATTTTCAATGATGAAGTGGAAACATTTTGGAAAAATGTCTGACACTTTGCCAAAATTTCCAGGGATCAAAATCTCATTTCTGCTCATCCCTTTCCCCTACTATCCTCCTAAAGAAGGCAGTTGAGAAAGTGAAATGTATGTACATGACTGCTTTTATTTATCACTGCACTACCACTACACAGCCCCTGATGAATGTGCAGTGACAATGAAGAGTATGTGCCCTCATTGGGGTTTACTGGCTTTCAGTCTAATGGCAATCGCCTTAGTAGCCTTGCCTTGAAGGCAGTGCCGGAGCCATCAACTACAAATCCTCTCAATCCCTTGCAGAAACCAAACGTCATCCCCTTTGACCTGGTACAAGATCATATACGCTGTATGATAATGATTTGATTAGTCATAATGGAAATAAAATTACTTTATTCGACACAAACCCATCACGCAATGAATACCGATAGAAGGATAATGCGATAGTTATTGTTGGGGGGGCTGCCAGCTTATTTACGGTAAGAAAACATTTATGCCAAAGAATTGTTAACTGCAATCCAATGTGTGTTCTGAGAAGACATCATCAACATTTTATGCGTTTCTCTATGGGCAGTGGTTTCACTGACACATGTCAGGCAATGTTATATTTTGTCCTATAGCTCCCTCTAGTGGTGAGACAAAGTACTGCACCTCATATAACCCTATGACACCTACAATGTGAAGTTCTTTTAGTAAATGATTCAGCTTGTAATTGTAACCATTGGAAAGTACTAAACAACATTTTAAATAACAACATCATGGGGGGATTTATCACGATAGACTGCCGCATTTTAGGGAGACTTCCCTTTTTTTGTACCCAAATGTCCCCTAATTGTCCCTCTTTTTGAACTGATGTATAGACCTCAATGAATAAATAAATGCGCTATACAGCAGCATTCCATTGTAAAAAAAGATTACAATAAAGATGCTGTGATGCTCAACTAAAATTAAGAGCTGTCCCCCACTCCTTCCGCCACTAGGTATCCCCGGCCGTCCAGGATGAATGACAGCCAGCATCATCCGACCATCCTCCCCTAATAGCCCAGGCTGTCATGGACCCGCCCCCAGCCTGGAACTTCAAAGTGAGATCAGAAGCAGAACAGTGATGAATTGATCTCCCTGCCACTCTGTATTCTCCTCCTATGAGCATGTTCTGATTGGTTCCTTGTGCTGTTTTTTTCCTCTCCCACTATGAGCTCTGCTTTGCAGGGACGTCAGGAAGCTGATACCAGATCAAATCCAATGCTTGCGTTTATAAAAATACATTCCAAGATATAATAATAAATACAGAAATGACCTAATCTGTGTCTTTTATAACAGCTTAGAGTTTACTTTTAACTACTGATGTATTCAATTACTTTTTTATTTGTCTCCTGAGGCTCCAGATTTTGAATCCCTGTGACACCAGGAGAAGAATTGAGGGTAACAGGGGTCACCAGGACATGAAGGCCCAGACAGCTAAACACAAACAAAACACAAAGAAGCTCCAACCTTTCGGCACTAAAAACTTCTAAAAAAAAAAAAAAAAAGAGTTTTTTTTTTAATGTTATGTTTCTTTTTCTTATCACTTCCTGTCCTCCTGACCCCTTGTCACAGGAAGTGACAGGAAATAGTGCAAGATAGTGTTGTTCAAACATTGTCCATGAGCCTGGGTGCTGCCTTCTTTAAACCTGGACAATCCCTTTAAATGAGTGATGGTTGCAAGGGGTCGGGGCACTTACTGAAATTTTGGTGAAGACGGACAGCAGCAGAGACAGTGCGGACAGGTACATCTGTATCCTCTCCCCACCGAACCTCCTCTGTAAATACTCTGGCATGGTAACAATCTGCGGAGAGGAAAGGAGAATGTCATCAGATGTGTCCACACAACACAAATACATTTATCATATTGGCCGTATTCTTCATAATAAACTGACCCCCTCCACATACTTAGACTGCTGCCAATGTAACAACGCTGCCAATGTAACCGCACACTATGTACCACAAACTTCTACAGTGCTCATACTTCTGCTCTATATACACAAAGCTATGATGATGATGATAATAATAATAAAAAAGACATTACCATTATAGTTTTATAAAACGGCAAAGAACTAATTTGATCTATAAAATGTATAACTAGGTAAAATTGTGAAATGGAAAAAAAAATTGGGCGGGGGGGGAACAGTCAACTAACCATTTTGAACCCTTATAAATAAACCCTTTATAAGCTGCCTTACCACAGAGCTGTCACCAGGGGGCGGTGTCCTACCACTAATAACCAAAGCAAAAGCAAACTAAAGCCTAAAACCAGATTATAAGGCTGGGCACACACCTTACAACCATCGCAAGACTTCTGTCTTGCGATGGTTGTAAGGTACTTAAAAAAACATACGATCTGCCTATGTTGCATAGGCAGATCGTACTTGCGATGATCGCAAGCCACGCCCCCTGAGGGGCGGGCTTCCGATGACCGCAATGCCGAACGGCTGTTATCGCCCGGACATGCCACAAACCCGCCGAACATCGTACGATGCTCGGCGGGTTTTCGAACATGTCCGTAAGTTTAAAGTCGTGCGACCTTACAGTAGTAGAGGTCGCACGGCTTCCACACACCTTACGATCATCGTACGATCGCGGGATTTCCCGCGATTATCGTACGATAATCGTAAGGTGTGTGGGGACCCTTAATCAAGGTACAGTACACCCCCGTCATCCGGCATCCGCGGGGAATGGTAGATTCCGGATAAATGTAGTTTCTGGTTGCTTGAGTGTTACTGTTACACATAGGTCTAACTAATGCCATACCCCATACTATACCAGATCATAACATGAATTCTGTATTGACTTCATATTAAGATTGACATGCAGTAATCAAAAGCAAATTAAGACACATAGGCACACAATCATTTCCAGGATAATACATGCCGCAGATCAGCAGAACAGAGTGCACAGGGGATTCTTTTTTTCTGGTTAGATGAGAGTTCTGGTTAGTTGAATACCGGATAACAGAGAGTTTACTGTATTTGTAATATATCACAGCACTCCAGCTGTGCTGGAACTACAAGCCCCATGAGGCATTGCTAAACTCACAGCTACAGGTGTTCTATCGAAAGCTCCAACTCATCGAAATCTCCAACTACCTCACTTCTGGTGCTCAGAAAGACTGGAGCTCTGTACAGTGGCGGTGCACATGCGCGCATAGCGTTTTCAGAATCCTCGACGAGTTTGCCACCTGCTGAATATTGTTATCATGCAGCTGTACTGAGCTCCGTCGGTCTTTGTGTTTTGCAGTCTAACCCCGTCTGGTCTCCAACTTGCAAGTACCAGGCAGTGAGATAGTTGGAGATTTCGACAAGTTGGAGCTTTCGATAGAACACAGGCATGACTCCCAGAGGCAAAGGCACGATGGGATTTTCAGTTTTATCACAGCTGGAGTGCCAAGGTTGACCACCTCTGCTATGTTCTAATAGAAATAATCTCGCCCATAAGCAAGCCCTCTTTTAGTTACATTTTATTTTGTATATTTTACTTTTTAATAATGCAAAAAATCAGCAACCGTCCGAGTGCTGCAGCTGCTGCAGACACAACGTTTGCAAATACTTTTGTGACAATTGAAGCCAGAGGATCGGCATTATAGCCAGGCAGCTAGCATTATCAGAAGGAGCTTGTATTGAGCTGGCGGCCCAAGTTTACTTTAAAACTCCAGCAAAAACATTGGAAGTGGTGTTGGCTAGAGCGGGGAAGGAGTATCCTCTGTCAGGTTTTTATTCATGTCAGCCGTGTCCCTAATGGGGAGATTTTTATTTACTTCCTGTCAGAAACAGACAGGAAGTGACACTAAGGTCCCCCATTTCTTTCTCTGGATGTACAGGGACAGGAACCATTGACCAACCATTAGAAGGAACACAAACAGTTCCCGAGGCCTGCAGTTACATCAAGTGACAACATAATAATGTGTTGTATAAACTGGAGTGATCCTTTAAGTGAACCCTTCACTGATCTCCCGCTGATGCGGCAGTACTCACCCCGGAGGAGATATACACCGGCACGAAGATCCAAGCCAACGCCAGTAATATAAAGGTGGCCTGTAAGGACAGAATATCACAACATTAGACACAACGTACAAAGGAAACACCATCTTATTTCCTACGGGGACTGAAGGAGGATCTGTTCTTGTTGTCTAGATCGACCAATCAGCTGCTTCCTTTCATGTGGAAAGGCCTCAGAGATATGGAAACTGGAGCCTGTTTGGTCGCTATAGGCAACAAGGACTTTTCATCCTTCAGGGCCCATTTTTACTTGGCGTCCTGGTGCCTTGTATCATTGACTGTGTGTCTTTTGTTTCGTTTTTTCCAGGTGAATGGGCCGCCAATGCAGCAAACGTTCAAAAAACTCGTGCCTGCGCCTCCTTTCATAACGCAAGCCCCACAACGCCATTGACAATGAATGCCACCGCAATGTGCGATTACGTGCGATGCTGGTGACACTCACATTACCACAACACAAATATACCATAAGTGAGGCCTACTCTTATTACAGCACCATTACATGGGAAAGTATAGCTGGTTGCCCATGGCAACTATTACTGTTTAAATTTTTCTCAAAGCAGGAGACTAAAACCTGTTTGGCTGCTAAGGCGCCATCAGTCCTGTTTCCTTGGCTCTAGTTTTTATCATTTTACCTCTCAGCCTCCATTCATACCAAACCATAGCGGGAACGTTTGTCATGGTGATGTGCGTTCCCTCACGTTTGACAGCGTTTGTGTCCCATGTTTGGGGTGCATCTCCATTGATTTCAATGGGTTCCCGGACATGCGCCAAAGGCGTGCATGTAACAAATTCTGCAGCACGCTTTCCACGTTTTGCTTAACCACGTTTGGGGTGCCATTAACACATTATCAAAGTGCACATTTTGTGCACATTTGGCGCTCGTTCACGATACTCTATGGCGTGAATGGGGCTTAGTCAGCTACACATTATGAGAGGAATTCATCAACACTAGAGCAGTTGCCCATGGCAACCAAACAGCTTCTATCTTTCATTTCCAAAGCTTAACTGAACAAACTGAAAAGAGAAGCTGATTGGTTGCCACGGGCAACTGCTCCATTTTCTGTCTGCTCCAGTTTTAATAAATTCCCCTTTGTGCTCTTCATGTCTATAGGTCAATGAGAGAACTGTCTATGTGGCTGTTAGCAACAAAGCCTTCTGTTTACTTTCCCACTGCTGCTGGCGCCTGGGGAGAAGCTCATTGGTTGCTAAGGGCGCCATAGACATGTTCAGACACTTTCAGTGGTGGCCTGTGTGGGAAAAGTGTTACTGTCCAAAACACCTCGGCCTGTACGGGGCACATAGAAAACAATTGTTCCCTTTTGGAGGCATGTGTTTCTCTGGTACAGAGGAACACAGGCCTCCGGGCGCAGCGTGAGCGAGCACTTACTGGGGGAACTCTGATGGGTTGCTAAGGGCAACATAAACAAGTTCATACACTTTCAGTGGCGGCCCGTGTGGGAAAAGTGTTACCGTCCAAAACACCTCGGCCTGAACGGGGCACATAGAAAACAATTGTTCCCTTTTGGAGTCCTGTGTTGCTCCGGTACAGAGTAAAGCAGGCCTCTGGACATGAGCAGGCCCTTACAGGGGGAAATCTGATGGGTCGATATGGGTAACACTGTTTACACACAAGGCCCACCGTTTTCACGATGTCCATGTTTTTATGGTCAGTGCCAGTCAGGCCCAGAAACAGTGCTAAACCACGCATTTCACACTCCATTAGCTGCTCGAAACGCATAACGCCACCTTTTTGTTTACAGCTGTTTTTCTCCAGCGAGGCCTTTGACTGGCCCTCTTCCAGGTTTTTGTTTTTCATTTACCCAGCATTCACAGACATTTTGGTGCCACCTTAGGGGTAAGTGCCATCCCATAGTTGTACTTCTCCCCGCACCCTCTTACATTCCATTCGAATCCGGCCACCGCGATGCCGCCTGCCGCTCCAGTTCCCGCCAGTCCGATAAACAGCCCGGAGCCCTCGCTGCTGGCAAAGAGCGACGCGCCAATCTGATGTGAGAGAGAGAGATGAGCCCTCCTCATTCCAAACACAGATAGTCATGTCAGCATCAACTGCGGCATTGTCAGTGAATCAGTGCGCAAAGCGGGAAGGGCGACATTGATGTGCGGGATGGAGACCGACGGGCATGCTGGGAGTTGTAGTCCCTTTGTAGGTCACCCTGGCCACCAAAACCATGGGAAGCACTGTCATTATTATTTATTAATTATTGACCGCTGCGATTTGATTGGATAATCTATGACCAAGTAATCAGACCGGTGGGGGCGGGGCACACTTTCACATCTGAGTGCATCTCTCAGAGGCAGAACCGGCCCGGTTATCTGTGCCAAGGAGCTGAATAAGTTCAAAAGCCAAAAAGCTCTGACTAATCCATTTTACAAATCCCAGCGAATCCTTACAGCGATAATCCCCCCAGCCAGACTGTTAACCCTTCCACCACCCGCTGAGGATTATTACAGCTATGGAACTTTTCCTGAGGCCCAGCGGCAAAAATTAAATGTAAGAAATAAAAAAGAAACAAAAATAAAATTGTAAGAGATATAAAAATGAAAAAGTAATAAAAATGTAAAAAATAAAAAAATGTAAGAAATAAAAAAGAAACAAAAATAAAATTGTAAGAGATATAAAAAAGTTATAAAAATGTAAGAAAGATAAAAATGTAACAAATGAAGTAACAAAAAATGTAAGCAATATAAAAATGTAACATAAAATAGTAGCACATATAAAGATGGAAGAGTTATAAAAATGTAACAAATACAAAAGTAATAAAAAAAATAAGAAATATAAAACTGTACCAAATAAAAAAAGTAGCAAAAATAAAAAGTAACAAAAATAAAAACGTAGCTAATATAAACTGAAATATATAAAATGTAACAAATATAGTGATTGTTACATTCCGCCATGACAGCCAGAAAATCATAGTCACATGACTCAAATGAGTGTTACAGCAAATAATAGATTTGTTATAGTTTAGTGAATTGAGTCTATTGCCCGTCATTGGCCATAACTTTCGAAGCGCGATTGGCCTGTAAAGAATGTTTGTTTTGGCATAAATCAGTCTGAACGTTCACAGATATGACATTTATAAATAGGCCCCTTCTTCCACTACAACAAGCCCACCCAAGTCACACATGTACAGGTACTTACAGGCCACCAAGCCATATTGCGCCCCGCTAGGAAGTATCCGCTCAGGGTGTTCCTGCTCACACGACATGAAGACTGCAAATAGAAGAAAGACACTCAGAATGTATAATATTAAATCTGACCTCCGGCCTCCCCTTCAGTCTTCTACCTGACCTCCGTCCTCCCCTTCAGTCTTATATCTGACCTCCGGCCTTCCCTTCAGTCTTTTATCTGACCTCCGGCCTTCCCTTCAGTCTTCTATCTGACCTCCGGCCTTCCCTTCAGTCTTCTACCTGACCTCCGTCCTCCCCTTCAGTCTTATATCTGACCTCCGGCCTTCCCTTCAGTCTTGAACAATTGTACCGTCTGCTCTCCCGGACTGACATTGCTTCCTCTGATATCACTGCACACTGGGAGCTTCTCACAATGTGCATTAGAAGCTGCAGCAAGTCAGACAGCGCCCGCCTCATTTCCTGGCTGGAGGACATCCACCATCATCTAGCCTTTTCTCCCCAGGCTGACTGTCCCTGGCCCCGCCCCTTTCAGTCATTGGATTTCAGTTCTCTCAGTCATGAGGGATCAGCATCACACGTGGGTGTTACCTCGGGGCCTTCTGCATTTTAATAAAGTTAAAGGACTGCCCACTCCTCCAGATTGACACCCACCAAGGCATGTTGATATTTGCATGTGCTGTGATGTTTTTAGAAAGCTATGTACAGCACCCTACTGGCCCTCCCACCAGCTATGATCCGCCTGCATTGCACAGGGAAACGCAGAGACCCAGTTTTTAAACTGTGTAATCTGAGTTTATTTTGACAGTCAGGAATTGCACCGAAGCCAAACACTAGAACAGCCTTTCCCAATATCTCACCACAGAAGAACCCTTGAAATAATTGTCAGTTCTCAGGGAACCTCTGCCAAAATTAATTCATCAGTGGTCAGAGAGAGAGCGTCTTATACAATGGTTGTCAGTGGAAAGAATGCCCCTTATATTGGTGGCCAGGTGTAAGAATGCCCCTTATATTGGTGGCCAGTGGGAAGAATGCCCCTTATATTGGTGGTAAGTAGGAAGAATGTCCCATACATTGGTGGCCAGGTGGAAGAATGCCCCTTACATTGGTGGCCAGTGGGAAGAATGCCCCTTACATTGGTGGCCAGTGGGAAGAATGCCCCTTACATTGGTGGCCAGTGGGAAGAATGCCCCTTATATTGGTGGAAAGTAGGAAGAATGCCCCTTATATTGGTGGTCAGTAGAAAGAATGCCCCTTACATTGGTGGTCAGTAGGAAGAATGCCCCTTATATTGGTGGTCAGTAGGAAGAATGCCCCTTATATTGGTGGTCAGTAGGAAGAATGCCCCTTACATTGGTGGTCAGTAGGAAGAATGCCCCTTACATTGGTGGCCAGGTGGAAGAATGCCCCCTATACTGGTGGCCAGTGGGAAGAATGCCCCCTATACTGGTGGCCAGTGGGAAGAATGCCCCTTATATTAGTGGAAAGTAGGAAGAATGCCCCTTATATTGGTGATCAGTAGGAAGAATGCCCCTTATATTGGTGGTCAGTAGGAAGAATGCCCCTTATATTGGTGGTCAGTAGGAAGAATGCCCCTTATATTGGTGGTCAGTAGGAAGAATGCCCCTTACATTGGTGGCCAGGTGGAAGAATGCCCCCTATACTGGTGGCCAGTGGGAAGAATGCCCCCTATACTGGTGGCCAGTGGGAAGAATGCCCCTTATATTAGTGGAAAGTAGGAAGAATGCCCCTTATATTGGTGATCAGTAGGAAGAATGCCCCTTATATTGGTGGTCAGTAGGAAGAATGCCCCTTACATTGGTGGCCAGGTGGAAGAATGCCCCCTATACTGGTGGCCAGTGGGAAGAATGCCCCTTACATTGGTGGCCAGGTGGAAGAATGCCCCCTATACTGGTGGCCAGTGGGAAGAATGCCCCTTACATTGGTGGCCAGGTGGAAGAATGCCCCCTATACTGGTGGCCAGTGGGAAGAATGCCCCTTATATTAGTGGAAAGTAGGAAGAATGCCCCTTATATTGGTGCTCAGTAGGAAGAATGCCCCTTATATTGGTGGCCAGAGGGAAGAATGTTCCATACATTGGTGGCCAGTGTGAAGAATGCTCCATACATTGGTGGCCAGTGGGAAGAATGCTCTATACATTGGTGGCCAGTGGGAAGACTGCTCTATACACCAGTGGTCAGTGGGAAGAAGGTTCCTTACATCGGTGGCATTGGACCTGTAACCATACGGCACCATCATATAGGAGAGCAATCAGCCACAGCTTAAGGAACCCCTAGACCCCTCTGGAGGACTCTGGTTGAGAATGTCTGCACAAGAAGGTCTCAGGATTAGGAAGCAATGGAGACATCTGTGGATACCCTCAGCAAACACATGTGACGGATGTTTTAGAAAGATAAAGTCTACTTTTGGGGTTGGATTTTTCATCATAAAATGATAACCTCTCTGGTAATAATGAACACGCATGATACACATACGTGGGTCCAGGTAAAGGTAAAACACTATCTTAGGGTCTCTTTATAGACACCGTTGGGGAGATTTCCTTTCAGACATAACAGGAAGCGAGAGCAAATTCCCCTTTAGACAGTTGTTACCAGCACAGATGTCCACATTGGAAGATTAACCCTCGCCTCTTGTCCTGCTGAACACTGTATAATTTTGGATCTCCGATCACTTTTTGTCTCAGCAGAGACAAGGCATATAATAGAGGGTGGATCTCCCCCTCAGACATCAATTAAAAGCCTGGCAGAGGGTCTATCTGTTCCCTACTCAATCCAAAACTAAAAATTGGAAGATCAGGTCGATTTGTAACTTTTCTGGGCATGTCGAGTAGCACAGACCAGGTTGGAATAGTTATGGGCAGGCATGGTGGATCAAGTCCAATGGCTAAAATACATTTCTCTTACCCAGATCCCGACCGCCACATTGAGCAAGAAGTAAGCCACGATGACGATGATGTCGGAGATGTTGAACTGTTGCATTAGATTCTGGTGTATGGTGGTGTTCCGTTCCATGGTTCTGGATCTGCTTCTTCCCAGCACTGACTGCAGAAGCACCACTATGTGGAGGGTCAGTGGCAGAAGTGCTGAATATGAGGAAGTGGTTGGCAGGTTGGGGGAATTGATCATTAATCCGGTTGTTGCTGTTGGAAGCATTCAGGCAGATATAAGTGACACAAAGTACAAACCTCCAAATTTATAGGCTGAGCCACTGCAGCATCTAAATAAACATGATGTTATCTAGATGAGGTCCCACCTGTCAGCCCCCCACCCCCCCCTCCATGTCCTTTCCTGTATACCTTTCTGCTCTGCCCAGCTTATGAAATCAATTCTCAGAGGTCTACTTTTCAAGGCCCCATTCCCCATGGCACAAGCAGACACCTGAGTTGTCAAGAAGGTTGTGCCTGGCTGCATACTTGTTTTAGTAAATGGTCCTTCACATAGGGTTACCACTTATCTCATGTATGTGTGCTTGTACCCCCCGTGTTGGCTCCAAAACAAGCTATTTAAGCTCAGGAACATCTGACTTTAGTGTTGAATAATCTAAAGCATTAACCTGTTTTCTGATCTCTTGTTTTCCTCCATTACTACTTTTGGACACTACTTGAATATCTGCTTTGCTGGTTGACCTCAGCCTGTTCTGATCTTGATCCTGCCTCCTTTTCCTGTTCCTCATTACCTATTCTTTGACTATGTTCCTGCTTCTTGATCTGTGCCCCTGCCATCTTTTCACCAAGTTCTGATGGATTCAAATACACATAACAGACACTTGTGCCATTCCAACGCCCTCCCGCCACCGGTCCCGCTAGCCAAGGGTCCCCAGGATGAGGAGAGGCCACCTTCGTCATATGGGACTTCCTCGGGTTCTTGCAAAACAAATGGCAAACTTACTCATCAACTCATAACCAGCTTTCAAGCAAGGTGCACATACATGGAAGGGCTTTATACAGTACACAGCAAAAAGTTTCCCAGCATTCTCACCAGCCAGCATGCAAAAAAACTTGTCTCACCGCTAAGGTTTAAAACAGAGGTTTAGATACATGTCTTCTGAAGAAAATGTGAAAGCCGCACCACCTCGTCAAGGCCCCTCTATATAGTGCGGTCCTAACTCTAACCTATGAGAGTCTCCATCTTGGAGCACATGTAGCAAAAGATAAAATTGGGTGCAGGTTCGCCAGGAGGCAGCCCAACCTCCTTAAGGGGAGGAGAGGCCACCTTCATCATATGGGACTTCCTCAGGTTCTTGACACCAGTATTTTCCTATTCTGGAACTAGTATACTGTTTCTGAGATGCCAGTGAGGTAGGATCAGTGGTCACTAGATACAGAGTCATCAGTGGGCCCCAGCTCCTGGAGGAACCTCATATCCAAACTGCCAAAGCCACATTAACCAACCTCAATTTTTTTTTTTACCTCTTCTCAAATGCTAGTGCAGACAAGTTCACATCTGCTATAGCAGTGGAAACATTTGTGAGCTTCTGATTGGTTAAGGCAGCTGCCAATCCAAGGGTGAGATCACATAGTCCTATTCTTTACACTAGAGGTGGAAAGGTTTTTGCTCGCATTGCTTCGGGTTCAGCTCCCAGAAGTGGGGATCATTGGAAGTACATAGGAAATCTGTACAAAAAGAAGGGAAGTCACCTTAGCCGTCACTGGAATAAGGAGGTTCTGATGAAGGGGGCGTGCCCCTGAAACGCATAGACCTTTAGAACTCAAGGGGGCAGAGGACGCTGATGTGCTGTACTCCTTCAGACTTCCGCTGCTAGAGATTTTATACTTCATCACCATTTGTATGCTTTTAACCACCGACTTTCCTGTAAGTACATTTTTATTTGCGTGTTGTACAAATAAATGACACTTTTACACTATGGAGGCGCTCTGTCTTGTCCCTTGTTTCCTGGAATAAGTGTCCCCCCATTAGAAGATTCCCCTCACCTCCACATCTGGTAACAACTGACACTCCACATTGGATTTCTCACCACCTTTTACATTTTAAACACCAGTGAGTAAGCCTGCAGTACCCAGAAGAGGAATGTGTCACGGTGAGGTGTGCGATATTAAATAGTAACCAAAACAACTCCGGTGACAGTTAACAGATCATCCATGCGTGCTGTACGCAACTAAATCTCAGTCCAGAGGTTCTGATTGCTCAAAATGTATATATAGTTAAAATATTAAACACACTGGGGGGAAATGATCAAAACTGGAGCAGAACAATCTGGAGCGGTTGCCTATGGCAACCAATCCGCTTATTTCTTCAGTTTGTTCAGTTAAGGCTTGGAAATGAAAGGTGGATGCTGATTGGTTGCCATGCACAGCTGCTCCAGATTTTGTCTGCCCCAATTTTAATAAATTCCTTTCAGTGTTGTTAAGTCCATTCAGCTTTGGGCAGGTCTTCAATTCCAATGGCCCAGAAACACCAAGAGGTCTCACATATCACAGGGCAAGAAAAACACAGGATCTGTAGTGGTAGACGGTGACGGAGCCAATCATTTGTTGAAGATCTCCATTTCTGGCCACAGGAGCTCTTACTGTAGGTTTTTTTTTAACATAATAAAAGTTTTTGGGACATTTTTTCAAATACAGAATACAAAATCAAACTTTAAGGCGTGAAGGAAAGCAGAAAACAAGAAGAGTTTGCGTAGTATAATGATAGTATAGCGTGAGACTCGAACATTGTTGGTAATATAGACAGTTGTTATCAGATCCATTTACAGAAGCTCTTATCACATTTACTGTAGGCACAATCCCGAGATATCATGGAAATGGTAAAGATAAAGAACATTAAAGGGAGTATAGGTTGCTGGAAACAGATGACAAAGATAAGGCGATGTGGGAGAGTAGAGGAGGTGAAATCAGGGCCAGATTTGTTCTCTCTGCTGCCTTGGGAGGCCATGTTCCTCAATCCACCCCCCCATGGAGAATGGCAACCAGATGGCGGGGGCGGCAGGGTTGGTTTTAATTTTTCAAAAAAAAAATATTTTTTTACTGTATAACTTTTTTTATTTACATTTTTTTAACTTTTTAAAATATTTATCTTTTACGTTTGAATTATTAAAATATTTTTCAATTTTTATGTAAATTTTTTAGTTTTTTTATTATTTCTTATTTTTTTTATTTATTGTATTATTTTTTATCAATTTTATTTGTTTCACTTAACTATATTGATATCACACAGGAGTTAACAAGCCCCTGTGTGATAGCATTTGGAGGTGACAGGTTTTCTTTATTGAACCTGTCCCCTCCAATACAGGAGTTTGAGCACAGCACTGTGCTGGCTGTCCTGTGACAACTGAGATGGGATGGCTGCAAGTACAGGGTTCCTGTCTCAGTGTTTACACGGAGCAGAGCGGAGGACAGACGTTCTCCACTCTGCTCCCCGCTCTCTATCCTGAACGAATGTGCCGTGGTCTCAGGTCCCCCAGAAGAGCGGGGGACCCCGAAAACCAGATCAGGGAGGGAGGCGGCCAGCGGGGACTGAGGCAGCTGGAGGTGGGGCGAACCATGGAGGGGGGGCTGCTGAGGGGGACAGACCTGCAGGCTTATTACAAGCGATCTTGGCAGCATTGCCAGGATCACTTGTACTAAACGAGTGGCGGCTTCCCCACTCTACATTTAGCCCTGCGTGCCTGAGGCAGGCCTAAATGTAGAAAAACACTACCCACCCGGCACACACTCGGCATCTGCGCCACCCCTCTACTCCATGCCGGCCTCGTTGGCTGAAATAGAAGATCAGAGTATAGGAGTGAGGAAATCAAGAGAAAGAAAAGTAAACAGGAAAGGAGGAATAATAGAGAAGATGACAGAGAATACTTCCAAGCATTGTTAGACCCTACGGGTAAGTGTCATACATATTAGAGGTAAGCATCAAGGTTAGCATAGAGATCTGAAATGATCTGTGTCCATTTAGGAAAGCCTAGGAGCCCAGGTTACCTCAAATTGAGATAGCCGAATATGTAAGTGTGCTGTCAGCTGTTCGAAGTTCATAGTACAAACAGACCTCCTTCGTCCACTCTTGTATGGAAGGTACTGTAGAAGAGTTCCAATGCCTAGGTATTAGGTTGCGTGCAGTTGCTATAAAGATGCGAAGGAGACCTTTCCTGGCACGGGCAATAGGGCCCGGGATGATGTAGAGCAATGCAATTTTAGGTGAAGGAGGGATCACTGTGAGTTAGTAATATGGCAGTAAGTGGAGACAGTGGTGGACCTAAGGAACGAAGGGCCCTGGTGCAAGATTTTTTTTGCCCCCCCCTTCCCTCCCAAAAAAAACACAAACACAGCGCTCTCCTAGAGGGGG